GCACTGAAACCAAGAGCAAGGAGGTCATGCGCTGCATTTACTCAACCTGCCTCTTCAGGGCTCTGTAGTCTTGTCTCTGCTTCACTAAACATATCGGTGTCATTCTTTTCTTTTTTTTTTTTTTTGAGACAGAGTCTCACTCTACTGCCCTGAGTAGAGTGCTGTGGCGTCAGCTTAGCTCACAGCAACCTCAAACTCCTGGACTCAAGGGATCCTCCTGCCTCAGCCTCCTGAGCATCTGGGACTACAGGCATGCGCCACCATGCCCAACTAACTTTTTCTATATATTTTTAGTTGTCTATCTAATTTCTTTCTATTTTTAGTAGAGACGGGGTCTCGCTCTTGCTCAGGCTGGTCTCGAACTCCTGAGCTCAAAGGATCCACCCACCTCGGCCTCCCAGAGTGCTAGCATTACAGGCGTGAGCCACCGCGCCCGGCCAACAATGGTCATTTTTTAGATGAGCTGTCAGTACCATTTGCCACAATTGGTTAATTTCTTTTTTCATTCCTTAGCTTCTAGACTATCATAACCTCCTGCTGTTCTGCTCACCTCACTTGTTCCTTCTTTATTTTCTTTGCTCTTTAATTTTTATCTATATGACCATTAAATATTGGGCCTCTCAGTGCACAGCTCTTGTTTCCATTGTTTTCTCTATCTATATGAAGAACATTGGGGGGAGGTCCTCATCAAATCTCATCCATTCTTATGGCTTACATAAGAATGCCATAAGCCTATCTTCTCTTCTTCAAATGCTCCTAGCTCATTCCTGCCCCAGTGCCCTGCACCTGCTATTTCTTTCTATTGGAAATATGCTCTATATGCCAACTTCCAAATTTAAGTCTCCCTCACTGACCTCTCTTATGAACTTTAGTTAGTGTCTGTTTGATACTGGGATATCTAATACATATCTCAAACTTAATGTGTCTAAGATTAAATTCCTGATCTCATCTTTCAATGTCTTCCTCCTGTCATCTTCTGTAATTCAATAAATGATGTTTTCATCTTCCAGTTGTTCAAGATAAAAACCTTGGTATTATACTGGACTCTTCCCTTTCTGTTCTTCTCTTTACTCTAGCTATTAAAAAACCTAGCCATATATAAGTTCAAAATATATCCCAAATCTGGCTTCTTTAGCTACCCTCAGTGTTACCACCCTAGTTCACGTTGCTGTTAGCTTTTTACCTGTATTATTTCCATAGCTTGTTAACTGGTCACTGTTTTCTCTGGTCCTCCTTCCCCTTCTTTAACCTTTTCTCTCCTAATTCACATGTCTATTTTCTACACATTGGCCAGAGTAATCATTTTAAAATGAAAGTTGCATTATGTCACTCTCTTGCTCAGAACCCTCAAATGATGCCTTAACTCTTTCAGAATGAAAGCTGAAGACCTTACATTGGTCCACTAGGCCGCCAGTGATGTGAGTCTTGACTGACTCTTTGGGCTCATTTTTTTCTCTCTCGATCATTCCAGTCCTGCCACGCAGCCTGTTTGCTCTTCTTCAAATGGTCCTAGCTCATTCCTTCCCCAGTGCCCTGCACCTGCTATTTCTTTCTACTGGAAAATTCTTAGCCTTAGATATGCTCATACTTTGTTCCTTGCTTTTTTCTTTCTCAAATATTGCCTTCTCCCTGAAACTTTTACGGATAACACTACTTAACAAAGCAAATCTGCCATTCCCATCAGAGGCTTTTCTTCATTTTTCTTTAGAAAACTTATTACTATCTGATATTCCACATATTTTGTTTATTATTTATTGTCTCCCAACTAGAATGTAAATTCCATGAGGACAGAGATATTTATTTTGTTCACTGCTGTATCTCCAGAGTATAGAAAATTTTATGACATGCAGTAGATAACTTAGTGTTTGGCAAACAAAGGAATAAGTGAATGAATGAATGAAACTTTGGGGCTATTCATTTGTTGAACATGCTGTTCAATGAGTGGAAAAAAGGCTAGGTGGTTGGGATAAGGAGAGGAAGGGGCAGAGTATAAGATAATCTAATGTTATTGGAAGGAACCATATTAGGCAATACAATAGGGACATCATATGGGGAGTAGTCTTCATCCTGGGGACAATAGGAGCACAACCGTGATTTTAAGTAGAGTATGACATTATCACATTTGTACTTTTAAAAGATAGTTCTTGCTGCTCCGTGGATTACGCTATCAGAAGACTTTCTATATACTGAGCACTGTACTGTGAACCCCTGCTCTCAAGAAGCATATAGTCTAGTAAAGAAGAGAGACACTAAATAATTAATGTCAAGGGTAATTATTTATTTAAAGGGCAAAGTTGATGCTATGGAAGACTATAATGTCAAAATTTTATATCGGTTAAGAAAGGCCTTCCTCTGGGAATGATTTTTGTTTTCTATTTCATGCAAACTAGGGGACTGCCTTTAACATGAGCACACGTGCATGTCAGCTACCCATCTTTTCTGCTTGGGTGGTAACAGACCTGGCACATTCACTTGGCCCACTGGTACCTGAGGGCATTTGAGTTTGGTAGCAAGTGCAGTGGGGGATGGCTTCAGTCAAGGCACCATGGATGTTCAAAGAAATACTCGAAGAGCCTCTCACCCCTAAATGTACACACTCAAAGGGATGGGCAGAGATGTGAGCAGGAGTGACCATGGCTAGCGAGGCTTGGAGGTGGAAATCAGAAGCTCTGAAGATAGAGAAGCATAGTTTTACTATTGCATTCTCAAGATTTAAATTTTGGTTAGGATATAAATATACATTTAATAGCCTGATTTAAATTATTTTTTTATTTAATGATTTTAAATTTGCTTAATAACAAATATTAAACACCTTCGAGCTGTATCTAAGTATTATATCATACTGCATTTGAGTATTTAAACATCTAGTACTCTGCTGGTAACACAATTGATGCACAGTTGGCTATTTGCTTTAAATATGATGTTACCTTGTTCTTGCTGTGTTCTTTACCTTTAGCCGTTATGGAACACCTGAAGAGCTAAAAGAGTTGGTTGATACAGCTCATTCAATGGGTATCGTAGTCCTCTTAGATGTGGTACACAGCCATGCTTCAAAAAATTCAGAAGATGGATTGAATATGTTTGATGGAACAGATTCCTGTTATTTTCATTCAGGACCTAAAGGGACTCATGATCTTTGGGATAGTAGACTGTTTGCCTACTCCAGGTAAGTAATATAATACAGAAATTTTTTTTTGTTTGAAATTAATGTCAAGGAATTTCACTAAATTCAGTGTATGTATACTCTCTCACTGGTACTTAATGTTCTTAATTTGATTTTTTTCATTGTATGAGCAATTTTATCTTGTTTTATATAGCACAAATATGTTGCATCAAATTTCAGTTTTACAAATTTTATGCCATTTGAAATACATCGGTTGTATCGTCATTTAAAAGTTTAAATGTGAATAATTTTTTAATATCAAAAAGACCACTTTATCAAGTTGATCTAACGACGGCAAATCTCCTTTTAATATAGGAATGCACATTGTCTTAAGTAAACAATTTTTAAAAATCATACTTCATGTTTTAATATCTTAATAATTGATTTTAGTTAAATTATTAACTTATAACTATAATAACAACTAACATTGTTGGTATATAATATGTATAAGTATGGAGTTTTAGATATATTAGCTACAGATTTCATCTCATTTAATCTATAGATTAACTTTACTTACACATGGTAAGTACTATTGTTATGCTCATCTTACAGATAAGTAAACTAAGTCTTAGTGTTGAAACAGTTTGTTAAAATTAAACACATCTCTGACCTCCTCTGCAATCTAAGTAGAAAGGTGTTCTAGGTGATTAAATCTAAATAACACAATATGGCAAAAATTAAAAAGGAAAATTCAAAATACCATTAATCCATTATTTCTCATCAGTAAGAATATAATGAAAATATGGTGTAAGGCATATTAAAAGTAAAAAAGTATCAAGTAATGTATAATTTTTTATAATAAATATTTTTGAAAACATTTAATATTTTTTTGGATGTTGTATTATACATGAACATACACATACTCGGAAAATAGTGTAGAAAAATGCTTCAGCAAATATTTTCATAAAATGAAAAATTCTCATTTTTCAAAATAAATTAGATGATTTCTATGTAGAAGAAATTATTTTCCTTCAGTCTTTCCTTAATATCATACATTATTTTATATTTCATAGCCATTATAGGAAGGACTCATGCCAGATGAGACAGCATAATAGGTGAGAAAAGACACTAGAGAGTGGCAGGTTTCTAGGCATAGCTTTATTCTGGTACAAATTATTTAATCATTCTTATTCTCAGGTTTTTCATTATAAGAGGAGACAGAGTTTTGAGACTAATATAATTCCTTCCATGAAGGCATTTTATATTTATGTCACCTTTCTGAACATTGCTTTTTATGCTGTAGATTTATAGCAAATAAAAAGGACTAAACTTATATTAATTCCTTGATATAACCCCGCTAATTACATTATTGAATAAATCTTATAAAAGTAGAATATGCAGAAGAAATACAATTAATTCAACTCTCTGGTTCATCTTTGGATAAATGAAGGTTGACTCTACTCTGTAGAACTGTGCCTTGCAAAGGAAATATATTGAATGGTTAGATTTTTATGTTTTAAAACAATTTTTCTGTAGAGCTATACCTTAAAAAGAAATACATTAATTGGGTAGACTTTTATGTTATAAAATAATTCTTTATTTTATTAAAAGATTTATCATAGTGTATTTTTCTGTACCATGAGCTCTCAAAGTACATTTAAACTTAGCCAATTTTCTGAAGAAAAGGAATTATACATATTTTTTTCAAAAACATTTCTTTTAAAGAAATTGAAACAAACTTAATATTGTTATTTAAAACTTGATTTCTTTTTTTATTGAATTAACTATTAATGTTTGTCAGGTATATACTTTTGGTAAATAATATATACTTGTTTTAGCTTATTATTTAATATTATTTTTTAGGACCATTTATTTTGTTTTTACTATATCACATAGGCTTAGTCCTCTGTAAATACAGTTTTATGAAAATATGTTTCTATTATTCTACATGTTGTTCTATTTGGCCAATATCTAGATTTGCCAATTTTATAGAATGAGTATTTCCTCTCCTTTCTCTCCTCTCCTCTCCTCTCCTCTTTTTCTCTCTTTCCTTTCTTTCCTTCCTTCTTTTTTGAGTCGGGATCTCACTGTGTTGCTCAGGCTGGTCTCAAACTCCTGGCTTCAGCCTCCTGAGTAGCTGGGATTACAAGCATGAGCCACCATGCCTCGCTAGAATTAATATTTTTTATATAGGTTTATACTATTGGTTCTGACACCATTCAACAATATAGATAAAATCCTACAAAGCAGTTGTGAATTGTGCTGTAATAAACATTCGATTGCAGAGTCTTTTTGGCAAAATGACTTCTTTTCGTTTGGGTAGATACCCAATAGTGGAATTGCTGGATCAAATGGTAGATCTACTTTTAGTTCTTTGAGAAATCTCCATACTGTTTTCCATAGAAGTTGTACTCATTTGCAGTCCTACCAACAGTGTATAAGCATTCCTTTCTCTCTGCATCCACGCCAGCATCTATTTTAAGTGCCCATCAGTTCATGAGTGGATTAATAAAATGTGGTATATTTACACTATGGAGTACTACTCAGCCATAAAAAGATGACTAATACCTTTTGCAACAATTTGGATGGAACTGGAGACCATTCTCCTACTTGAAATAGTGCAAGACTGGAAAAACAAATACCATATGTATTCACTATTAAATTGGAACTAACCAATGAGCACACAGGTACACAGAGGGAAGTAAAACTCAGTGGAAAGAAACCAGGGGGAAGGCGGGAACAGCAGAGGGGAAGAAACCAACCTAATGGGTATATGAACATTATTTGGGTGACAGGCACACCTATAGCCAGGACTGAAACATTTCAAAAATGATTCATATAACCTAAAACATTTCTACCCCCTTAATATTCTGAAATAAAAAAAAAAATCCACAAAGTCAGTGTATATAACCAAATTTAAACAAATTCTTCTTTAATAATTAGGTTTTTCAATGTATAAAATAGTAAAGTTTCTGTAACTCTTTGAATTACTGTCTCAGTACTTCTGTGTAACTTATTAGAAACTTTATTGATAAAATTTATATTAGCCTGCTGAAATTTACCAAGCTTTTTCTTTTACAGTTACCTCATTTTATTCTTACTACTTACTGCATATGTAATTTAACATTGCTTTGGTGTAACACTAAAGCCATTTTTATAATCTTAGCATTCATAATTAAAATCCTACTCTGTTTTTTTTGTTATCTATTGCTCCTTAACAAATCACCTTAACATTTAGTGACTTAAGACAATAGCAGTTGTTTATTTTGTTACCAAATTCACAATTTGGGCATAGCTCTGTGGGAACGGTTCTTCTTTTCTTAATATTTTGTCTGCTGGGGTGGCTCCAGTAGGGTGTGGAGTATCTGTTTTCTAGATGGTTCACTCACATGACTGACAGTGCTGGCTGTCAGCCAGGAGCTCACCCATGGCTGTGGTTTAGAGGATTACTCTCCTTGTAGTCCACTACACAGACGGCTTTCTCACAAGAGTGGGAGTCCCAAAAGACAGGACAAGCAGGCTGCCATTTCATGTGATCTGGGTTTGCAAACTGGTACAGTGTCATTTCTGCTGTAAACTATTGGTCAAACAGTCACAGATTCAAGGGACAGGGGATATGGACCCTACCTTTCAAAGGGTGAAGCATTAAAGAATTTTGGTTAGAGGTGGGTAAAGACAGATGGTTAATGGTACAAGAATATAGTTAGATAGAATGAATAAGATCTAGTAGTTGGTAGCACAACAGGGTGACTATAGTTAACAACAATTTCTTATATATTTTAAAATAACCGAGAGTGAAATTGGAATGTTCCTAACACAAAGAATTGATAATTGCTTGAGGTGATGGATACCCTAATTACCCTGACTTATAGGGTATGTCTGTATGTCTGTATCAAAATGTCACATATATGACATTAATGTATATAACTATTATGTATTAATAATAATTTAAAATACAAATTTAAAACAAATTCCCATACGTAACAAGTTTTGACCACACACAATGAATATGCTATTTCACAAATTCAAAAGAGAATATCTCAGCCATATTTCTGTTGTAGAAAGTTATGTCTGAAATAGGCAATTAAAAAAAAACACTTCTCATTATAAAATAATTCCATTGTAGTTATAAAATATGAAGACATACAAAATCCAAAATAAAAATTATTCTTTATAAACATGAACATCATGCTTTTATTTAGCTGTATTAGAGTACATGTAATGAGTATTCCTTACAAGCATGTAAGTATGTAAAAATCCAATCCTTCACTTTACCCTCTTCATGTGATAGCTAATCTGCCTATAATTTTGAGTTTATTCCTTATCCAGATGAAATCAGAAGCTACAATTGATATTTCATATTTTAAATATAAATTCTTTTATACCCCTTATTTTTGCTAAATTAATATTATAATTCATTGACAAATAGACATTAAAATGGTACATGGTTTGCTTAAGGCCTAAGCTTCTTCTTGAAAACTTTTGCAATAATTTTCAAAATTATTATATTTATTGTTTGAAAAAACTGATCTTATAGAATTGCTTCTGCAGAGATATGCTGCCGATGTTCATTTTCATCCTATCTATATGTCACAACCTGTCACCATTTATAATCTCTGATTCAAGTGCCATCATCAAAGTTATCAGAATTAAATCTCTCACTCTGAGTAATGCCAGAGATCCTGACTGTGCTATTTCATTACCTGCTATGTATAAATTTCCAATCAGGAGCTGCCCATGTTTTAATTTTCTGTCTACTCGGCTGAACTGCCTTCTAGCTTTGCTAAATTACTAATGACAGTTTATAACAGAGATTGGGTTGTCCCTTCTTTAGTTGGTAAAGAGAACTTTCTGACAATTCTGTCACCCATAAGTTTCAGAAATTTCTAGAGTGAGCAATAATGGATATAATTTAGTAGTCTCAGCTTTAAATTCTGTTTGAATATTCCTCTGGCACTATATAAATGCACTTGATAGAACAACAAGACAAGTGCAGATTTGTTGAGCTCAATTAACTACTATTCTTTAACCATTATTAAATCTTTAAATGAGTATCTACCCTT